TCGTTCATAGGGTTGCTGTGAGTCATCTATGACTCAATGACACTTAACAACAACAACATAGAGCTCAGTGGGCCTAATGAGCAGAAAGTGATGCTACCAAGCCAAAGGCAGGTGATTTTAATCTGCGGCCCTCAAGCCTGGTTTTAATTGTTTTAGGTCAAATATTCTAATTGGTATAGCACTGGTCTGTCCATTTGCTATAGAGATGTTACCAGATTGCTGTGATGCTGAACAACACTGTGACCCTGATGTGTCAAATGCAATAATAGTTAACCAAGGTGACAGTGTTAGGTGGAGCTCCCAGATTAAAACAAGCTTGGAAGCAGTAGTGGCATCCACTTCCAAAATAGCTTGCCTCCAGAAACTCTTGTGAGCTTGGAGAAATGATGAAAGTTATACAAATGTTCAGGTCTTTCATTCATAATAGGGTCGCTATGAGTCGTCTATGGCTCATCGACACTTACCAAAAACAAAGAACACAAAACAAATGTTAGTTAATGAATCTTTTAAAATTATAATAAGAATTAAAATCCAGAATCCATAAAATAGTAAGATTGATATTTAAACTACTTAAAAATAAAAAAATACTAAATAAGAAATTAAAAACCACTTTGGCGTGAAGTCCCTGAAAGCAGACTTCCCCAGTGTAATTTGTTTTTTTTATTTCCTTACTGTTGGTGCCAAGATTGTTGGTTATGGAGCTGAGCAGGCTGAAATTGTTACCAACTTCAATCTCTTCTCCATCTGTTATGGTGCTACCAAGTGGCCCAGTGATGAAAAGAGTAATGATTTCAGTCTAGGGACTAAGGTGTGCCTGATCTAGGTCATGGTCTTTGCATGCATCTGAGAGCTAGACAATGACAGGAAAAGAATAAATACCTTTGTGTTGTGGTGCTGGAGAAGAGTGTATTGAACATACTATGGACCTCCAAGAAAACAAATATGTCTGTCTTGGAAGGGGTGAAACCAAGTTTCTCCTTGGAGGCAAGCATTTTGAAGTTCTGTCTCACATATATGGGTCACATAGCCAGGAGGGAACAGTCCTTGAGAAGGACATCAAGTTGGAAGGGTACAGGGACAGTGAAGGAGAAGAAGACCCCAGATGAGATGGCTTGACCCAGTTACTGGGCTAATGGGAAGAGACGTGTCAGAGTCAGTGAGACTGGCTCAGGATAGGGCAGGGTTTAGAGCTATTGTACATAGGATAGTTATGAGTTGCATATGACTCGATGACACATAACAACATTGGAATAGAGAAAAGAATTATATTACTAGACCCATTAATGAACTATAGAGAAAATGTTTTCAACTCGTAACAAATAAAAGCTAATCTCACAAAGACATAAAGAACTCCTGGAAACCAGAATAAAAATCAGTACTATTAAAAAATTAATCAATGCCCAAAGCATGTCAGATGAAGCCTCAGAATCCTTGCCTCCAAGGAGCAGCCTAGCTTCACCCTATCTAGGATGAATCTGTTTGTTCTCCTTTCAGTCCATGGTATATTCAACTCTCTTCTCCAGCACCATAGCTCAAAAGCATCATTTATTTCTAACATCCCTAGTCATTGTCCAGCTCTCTGATGCATAGCAAGCAATTGTGAAGACTGTGACCTGGATCAGGCACATCTTAATCTCCAGACTGACGCTGTTGCTCTTCAGTACCCTGGAGAGGTCCCTGACAACTGACTCTCCAATGCAATTCATCTCTTGATTTCCTGGCTGCTAGGACCAAGAGTGTTGATTGTGGAACCAAGTAAACGAAAACAGTTAACTATCTCAGTCTCTTCACCATCTATCATAATGCTTCCAATCAACCCAGTAATGAGAATTTTTGTTTTCTTGATGTTGAGTTTTAATCCATATTGGAGGCTGTAGTCCTTGATCTTCTGCAGCAAGCACTTCAAGTCCTCCTCAGTTTCAGCAAGCAAGGTTGTGTTATTTGCATAACACAGGTTGTTGATGAATCTTCCTCCAATCCTGTTGCCACATTTCTCCTCATATAGCCCAGCCTCCCAAATGATCTGTTCTGTGTACATATTGAAAAGGTATGGAGACAGAATACATCCCTGGCATACACCCTTCCTGATTTTAAACAATGCAATGTCTCCTTGCTCTGTGCTGACCACTGCCTCCTGGTTCAAGTATGTTTTTGTTTGCCATCGATTCGAGCATGTGTGATAGCAACTATATGAACAAAAGACCTGAAGCCTTTCGATACTATCATTTCTCAAAGTTCATTGAGTTTCCTAAGGCATGTTGTTTAGGAAGTGGATGCCACTCATGCTTCCAATATTGGTTTCACATAAGGACAGTTAAATGTTCTGGGATTCCCGTTCTCAGAGTCAGCCACAGTTTGTTGTGTTCCACACAGTCAAATACCTTTGCATAGTCAATGAAACACAGATAAACATTCCTCTGGTACTCCCTCCTTTAGGCCAAGATCCATCTGACATGAGCTATAATATCTCTAGTACCACAGCCTCTTCTAAACCCAGCCAGCACATCTGGCAGTTCTCTGTTGATGTGCTGTTTGAGTTGTTTTTGGATAATCTTCAGCAGAATCTTGCTTGCATGTGATATTAATGATATTGTTCTATAGTTTCCACACTCTGTCGGATCACCTTTCTTTGGAATGGGAACAAATATTTATCTTTTCCGGTCTGTTGGCCAAATGATTTTCCTCCACATTTCTTGGTGCAACTTAGTAAGCGCATCCAAGAGCAGCGTCTGTTTGTTGAAATATGCCATTTGTATGCTGTCAGTTCCTGGGGCTTTGTTTTTTGCCAATTCTTTCAGTATTCTTCCTTCATCACCACAGACTCTTACTCATACATAGTTTCATGAAATTCTTCTGTGTCAGCCAATTCCTTCTGGTACAGTGACTGTGTATACTCCTTCCATCTTCTTTTAATAATGCTGCTTGGATAATTTACTATTCTGCCCAAAGCATCCTTAAGTATTGCAACTCGTGCCTTGAATTTGTTTTTCCGTTTCTTCAGCTTAAGAAATGCTGAGCAAGTTCAGCCCTTTGATTTTCTGACCCCGCTCTTTGCCCATTTCATTATAATACTTTGCTTTGTCATCCCGAGCTGCCCTTTGAAATCTTCTGTTCAGGTCCTAATTTCTTGATTTTTTTTTTCCCTTTGCTTTGGTTTCTTGGTTCTCTGGTACAATATTCTTAGTCTCGTCTGACATCCCTCTTGGACTCTTCTTCCTCATCTGCCTTTATAATGAATGACCTTTTGGAACCTTCATGGATGATATTCTTTATATCCTCACACAGCTCATTTGGTCTTCACTCATTGGTGTCAAAGGCCTCAAACCTGTTCCTGAGATGGTTTTGAAATCTGAGTGGGATAAGTGGGATAAACATAAGGTCAAAGTTTTTTTTCCTATGGATTTGACTTAATTTTCTTCAGCTTCAGCTTGAACTTGCATATGAGAAGTTGGTGGTCTGTTCCACAATCAGCACCTGGCCTAATTTTCACAGCAGATATTGAGCTTCTCCAGTGATTCTTTCCACAGATGTAAAAGATTTTATTCCTATGCATAGCATCAGGTGAAATCCATGTGTAAAGTTTGCGTTTGTGTTTCTTATAAAAGGTATTTGCAATGAACAAATCATTCAGTGTACAGAATTCTATCATTCTATCTCCAGCTTCATTTCTGTTACCAAATCCATGTTTTCCAACAACTCATCTGATCTTTTGTATTCACTGGACCTTCTTTTATGTGTATGAATATTATCCTGTCACTCAGCACATTGTATTTCAGGATGGATCTAGAAATGACTTTTTTTTTTCATTATCAAACCCCATTTTTTTCTCCTCACCTTTTCATCTCTGGCATAGTAGATCATATGATCATCTGATTAAAAATGTCCCATGCCAAGCCATCTCATTTCACCAGTACCTAGTATGTCAGTATTTATGCATTTCATTTCTTCCTTAACAAGGTCCAATTTTCCTACATTCATGCTTCTCACATTCCACGTTCCAATCACTAGTGTCTGCTTACAGCTATTCCTCCTTCTTTGTGTTTCCATATTTGAGATCTCAGCTTGAGTTGCCATGTCTGCTAGTCTAAGAGTGCTTATTGCACATAGCATATATACGAAGTTATTAGTGACATTTGTGTTATGTTCCATTGAGCCATCAACAACTGAACCATGTCCTATCCTGCACCGTTTTCAAGATCTCAATTATGCTCAAGCACATTGTTACAGCTTCTGTCAATTATCTTCTTAAGGGTAATATGCCTTCTTTCCTTTTTTCTTTTTTTATGGTACAAAATTGGAGAAACACAAATATCCGTCAGTATGACACAGGTTAAATAAAACTAAAGACCATTTTAGCAATAGAGTTATGTATTGATGTATAGAAAATGAAGTTTCTCCCTTAATGTATGTTTTGAAAAGATATATGAATAGGTGGAACAAGTAAGGTGAAGAAAAATCCTTATACTTACGTAACAAATAAAAGCTAATCTCACAAAGACATAAAGGACTCCTGAAAACCAAAAGAAAAAAAAATCAGTATTATTATAAAAAAATTAATCCAAAAAACTGATACAAATGCAAATTTTTTCTTAAATATGCAAATTTTTAAAGTATGTTTATGTTCATAAATATACTAATTTTTTATACTACTATACTATATATTTCTATATATATACGATAGATTTCTATACTATACTGCTTTTTATGTAAGAAAAGGTTGACAAAATGTGTAAGGTTGCTTATGCTTGTATAATAAATTCTATAAAGTTATATAAGAAAAAAATAAGTGATTACTGTAAGGTTGGTAGAAGTTAAATGGACTGGGATAAAGATGTGAGTGAAATATTGCAAGGTAGTCAATTTATAGCAGTTTGATTTTTGAAACATGTGACTATTATTTCCCTATAAAATGCAAAACCATTTTTAGCAGCCTTGTATATTCTATGTAGTGTGAGTTTATATGAAACTTATTAACCTTTTATAAAATTTTTTTTCTTTAGAAAAGAATACTTCACTGAGGGATGGACTTCTGGTGTTCTTCCTCCTTATTCTTCCCCTTATTGTACTTGCTGTTTTTGTCTACATTAAGAGAGATCAGTTACAGAAAAGCTGCTTCAGAAAGAAGAGATCACAAGCACATGAGTACTTAATTTTTTCTTTTGAATTTGTATTCATTAACTTACAGTAATATCATAGAGTTTGGCAATCCTTTCCAAATATGATTCCAAGTTGTTTCTTTTGTCATGACTGGTAGGAAGTAAAAATGTAGTGAAGGTTTTTCCCATTAAAGAAACATTGCTGTGAAATCTATTACAGTGCTTAGTAAACCTATATGACAGGGTAGAAATGTTACATTGGATTGTTAAACTTTTGCAGATTCGAAGCTCTGCTAGTCCTATTGGGTAAGGAATTGTGCTGCCACCCCAAAGGCAGGTGGATATACCTGCAAATCTCAAGGAGAAAAATGGAGAGAATATCTTCTATGCATTTTACAGCCTATAAAAACCCACTGGAGGGTCAGTTATAAATCAGTTTTAGCTCAATGGCAATGATAGAGACAATTTTTAGAAAAAGAGCAGCCTAGTTGATAAAGCACCATATTTTTAATTTTAGAGTCTAGAGTTCAAGTGCCTGTTTAGGTGCTAGGAACACATTTAGAGTGCTGGTGGCATCATGCATTAAATGCTACTCTGCTAACTATAAGATCAGCAGTTTAAACCCACTAGCAGCTGCTCAGTGGCAGAAAGATGAGCACTCTTTCCTGCAAAGATTTGGAGTCTCAAATGCAGTGGTGAGTTGTCATGAATCAAAATTGACTTACAGCAGTGAGACTCTCTTCACATCTTTTCCTTGTAAAAAACAGATCTTACAGTTAGCAGTTGAGTCCATAACCACTGTGCCACAAGAGTCCCATAAGTGAAGGTCCATAGGTGGTACAAATGGTTTGCACTTGGCTATTAGTCTAAAGGTGGGGAGAGTGAATCTGCCCACATGTATGTGGGAAGAAAAATCCTGATGATCTGCCTCTGTAAAGATTACAGCCACGTAAACCTCGTGGAGAAGTTCTACTCTCTAATACATGGAATTCTTTGAGTTGGAATAAACAGTAATAGCAACACAATGTAATAGTAGTGACCAAGCCACCTATTCTGATGATGAGGCGACAAGATTATGGTGAACAGCCTCTATCTTCCTGTAAATGGCCCTTAGGGTTTATTTTGCTTGATAGCAGTTTCTGATTGTGGGCATTTGTTTCATGACTTCTGATTTGAGCTTCTTATTTAGAAATCAGTAAGCCCTGGTAGAGCAGTGATTAAATGCTCAGAAGCTAATGTAAAGGTAAATGGTTTAAGCATTCCTCAGGTGAAAGACATTGCCTTAAAACTCTGTAGGGCAGTTCTCCACTCTTTCATAATCACTGTGACTCAGACTCAACTTGATAGCAACAACTTTGAGGTGATTTTGTTGTTAGTGGTGCAGAGGTTAAACCCTTGTTCTCCCAGTGGCTTCTTGGAAGAAAGACATTGCAATCTAGTCTATACTGATCACAGCCTAGAAAGCCTGTGGGCCAGTTCTCCTCTGTCACGGGAGAGCACCATGAGCTAGAAATCAATTAGGTAATATCCAAGAGCAAAAATTAGATATTTAAATATGGGACAAACAAAAAGAAAGGCTTAAAAATATTTTCTTCTTTATCTCTAGTATCCATTCTCAAAGATGAATATCTTTAAAATTTCAGTTTTGACACAAAGCAGGTTTGTGAATTATCTACTTTTAAAGAAAAATTTTATTTTGAGTTTAGTGAAAGTTTACAAAAAATTGGCTTTCATTCATTCAAATACATTTTCTTCTCAACCTATCCCCTATTTCACTACAAGGATATGGATTTAAGGAATAGGTTTTGATTGCAGAAAGGATTGCCATAACTCAGAGACTTGACATTTCCATTCTGCATGTTGAACTCTCATATTTCTTATTCTCCAAGATTTAACTACCAGTTCTGATATGTTAATATTAGAATGCCCTATGGACTTTGTACTCAAATTGAATTCAATTTCTAATTAGTTATATAATAGAAATATGATCTGGCAAAAATAAATAAACCTCTCTGAGTATTGATTTTCTGTCTTTAAATTGGTAATAGTAATAGTTCCTGTCATAAAGGGTTGCTATGAGGATTAAATGAGAAAGTATGAACATATAAAATACATACTACATTACTGACATAATGTAACTACTTACTAATTAGCTTTTACCATTTAAAGAATGACTTTCAAATGTAGCTTGATTGTTCATCTTTGTATTATCAGCCTATTTTCGTATAATATATTCTTCTAAAATGTCATGATGCTAGCTTTAATTTTTAGTATGCCATAAAACACATTTTTCCTTTTATTCCTCCCTTACTACATGGCACCTTTCAGTCAGACTAGGTCAAACAGATAATTTATTTCTCTAAATCTCAAAAATTTTAGTTCTGTATCTATAACTATGACCCATATATCTTCACCTAAGTATCTGTTTTCACTGTGATGTCTAAAACTTATGTGATGTCTTTTCAGCCAATCTGTTCTTCTTGTATTTCCTAATTTTTCTAGTGACTGCTTCAAACTTTTGCATATGATCTGAAAGTAACCTCTTCTAATTTTAGGAGAAATGTTTGGAAATACTGATTAATTGACCAAATATCATAAGAAGTTGTAATTTCTTTAATTGTAAAATGATGTTAATTATACTTTCTGTTACTTCAAGATCTTAAAATAAGTGAAATCTATTAAAAATGCATTTAAACTTTAGTTACCAATATCCTATGATCATCACCACTATCAATATTATCTTTAAGTGTTTGAGAAATGCAAGGTGTGTGTAATATGTCATGTAGAAATGTTTTAATTAGCTGAGAAGTAATTTTATCTCTTAGGTCAAATGACAAAAATCAACCAAATGTTTCCAGACCACCTGTGAATGCCTCTCACTTTGTTTCTCCGGTGGTTCCTCCCAGAGAATCTGTAAGTTTAAAATGAAAATATTATTTTTCTTTACTGTATTAAACTGTTATGTGTTTCAGCTTTTTTGGTTTTTTCTTTTTAAAATTATTACTATTAATGTTAATGAATATTTACAGAGACTTTGGATTTCCATTCATTCATTGTTGCACTTTTCTCCCTGACCACCCCTCCCCACCCCAGTACACTCTTCTCTTTGACAAGTAAAAGAAAAATTTTTTCAGTGTTTTACAGTCCTTCCCCTGAGGTCCACTCCAGTATGCAGCCTTCATTCTGGACTCCTGTCATGACAATAATACCTAATCACATATCCCTTTTAAAGTTTTCTCCCTCATCTGTTTCAATGCAGTATATGTTATTTATCCCATCTCTCTGAGTCTCTCCCCAACCCTGATATCAGTCCTGTTTTACTACAGTGGCACTACACAGTTTTTGTCTTTTTGTGACTGAGTTATTTCAGTCAGCATAATGTCTTACAGGGTCATTCATTTTGAATAATATTGCATGAGTTCCTTATTTTTCAATTCAGTGTAGTATTCCATTGTGTGAATATACCACAGCTTTTCTGTCCATTCATTTGTTGATGGGCACTTAGGTTGTTTCCAGCTCCTTGCTGTTGTGAACAAAGCTGCGATAAACATGGGAGTGCATAAATCTGCTTGGGTAGCAGTTACGGTTTCTTTGGGGTATATTCCCAGTATTGGAATTGCTGGGTCAAATGGTATTTCTAGTTGCAACTTTTTGAGAAAGTGCCACACTGCCTTCAACAGAGGTTGTACCATTTTACACTTCCCCCAACAGTGAATAAGGGTTCGTTTCTCTACATCCTCGCCAGCATTTGTTGCTTGCTGTTCTGTTAAATTTTGCTATTCTTACAGGGGTGAGATGATATCTCATAGTTGTTTTGATTTGCATCTCTCTTAGAGCTAGGGATTTTGAACATTTTTTCATGTGCTTGTTGGCCATCTGAATGTTGTCTTTGGTGAAGTGTCTGTTCATATCCTGTGCCCATTTTTCAAATGGATTGTTTACCTTTATCTTGTTGTGGTGCTACTTTTTTTTTGTTTGTTTGTTTGTTGTTACAAAATGGTAATTGTTACATAGGTATACACTATAAATTTAGATACTTCTTAAGAATCAAGTATAACTCTGGGTAGTTCCTGAGTTAGTATAAAAAGAATAGGGAATAGTCAAGTCTTACTTCTATTAACTGGAGCTCTATTAACTTCATAAAGGGGAATAGTCCCTATCAACAACATCCATAATACAAAACCGATTTTTATATGTCAGAGATGATCTCCATGCTCCATCACCTACTTCTACTAATTCTAACATCAGCCATCCTAGTACTGGGTCTGAAATCATGAATCATTTGTACACCCCCTGTTTCTAGTTGGTGATGGCTAGAAAAACCATTTTGAACAGTAAACCCACTATACCACTGAATTGGCTTCTCTGGCCATTGTCCTTCATATTTAAGGAACAATGATGCCGGTTAAAAAACTATGGTATGCTAGATTTAGGCCAGGGCCTTTTCAATCATTTGCTAGGCATCTGAGAATTAGACTGCAAATAAGTATGACAGGAGAATCATTGATGCCTTTGAGCTGTAATGTTGGAGAAGAACATCAAATATCCCATAGATTGCCAAAAGATCAACCAGATATTTTTTTGTTTCTTGGTTGTTGTTATGTGCCATCGAGTCACTTGTGTACAAGAGCCCTAAACGCTGTTCTATCCTGTGCCAACCTAGCCATCTCAAACACACTCATTCCCACCACTCCATAACAGAATCGATCCATCTCATCGAAGGTCTTTCTCTCCTGCGCCGTCCCTCCACTCTCCCAAAAATGATGTCCCTTTCTAAGGAACAGTCCCTCCTTGCAACATGCCCCAAGTATGTCAGACGAAGCTTCAGAATCCTTGACTCCAAGGAGTACTCCAGCTTCACCCTCTCTAAGACAAACCTGTTTGTTCTCCTAGCAGTCCATGGTATATTCAACACTCTTCTCCAGCACCACAGCTTAAGGGCATTCGTTCTCTTTCTATCATCCCTATTCACTGTCCAACTCTTTTTTTCCTTGTGGAGGTCCTGTAGGATTTTTAATGTCAGTAATATAAGTAACTAATTTTATATAAGTATAAATATAAATAGAATTTGTATATAAGTAGTTTTAATTACATATAATTTATAGGTAAGTAGTTTTTTGTAAGTATAAATATAATATCAATATAAGTAAGTTTTTAAATGTCAGAAATGTAAGTAAGGGAGCTCTGGTGGCCTAGTGGCAAAGAAACTGCACTGTAGTCCTGAAGGCATGTGGTTCAAATCCACCTGATACTCTGCTGGAGAAGGAGGGGCAATCTCCTCCTGTGCCAGTTGGGTCCGATTTTATAGTACATGAAAAGAAAAAGAAAACCAAGAAATAAAAGTAAGTAGTCCATTCCATTGATTTTAAGTATATAGATTACTATCACTGGTAAAATAACACATTACGTGGAAAACATTTATGAGTACTTGTGGTAATAACCTTTAACTTTTTTCCCCCCCTCTTTAGCCTGTTTATGCGAACAGAGTTCCAGTACCAACATATGCACCCAAGCCACCTCAGCACTTCCCATCAAGGTCTGAAGTAAATTTATTAAGATTGCCTGATCTGAAAAAAAAACAATAACAAACAAACAAAAACAAAACCAAAAAAGCAAACCCACATAAAAAAAAAACCCAAAAAACTCTGAGGATTTTTAAATATATATTTTTTTTAAATTTTAGCCAAAGTATTTCTTTATTACCAACAGTTTAGAGATAACTATTTGCAGAGGGACTTTTGAGGAACTTTTATGTACATTTAGCCATATTAATACAGTGTCAAAGTGAAATATAAGGAAGCTTGAGCAAGATATACTGCTGCAGCCTTTGATTATTTGCAGGATTCTGGAACACAGATCTTGAAAACAACCAAAATTATAACACCAGATGGGTTGAGCAAGACTTCCAATTGAAAATTGATGGGAAGGCTCTACACTATATGAAATTGTGTTGTTGAAGGTTCTGGAGTGTGAGTCTAAGGTCCTGAATAAGAAAGAATGACAGAGATGCACTAGCCCTTGGGGTCACTTTTATGTCCTTGATGTATCTTTCTGATGTGAATATGACAGCTGAGAGGCTGAGTAGCTGAACAGAGCTTTCAATAAACAGGTTCTGGGCACAACTTAGAATTGTGTGAAGGAGAAGATGCCCTGAAAAACATATCAGACTTTTGGGAAACTCTTAATTTATTTGTACAATTTTTTCATTTGGCTCTGAATCTATAGAGCCAGATATGTAAGGAAAAAAAAATTGAACTGAACTCCAGGGAACAGCGGATCATAGAAGCAGACTTAGTGGGTGGGTAGTTAATAGAGTTATCAGACATGGACTTTACAATACCTATGGTTATTTTGTCTATGGAATTAAAGTTGAGATTGAGAATTTCGGCAGCAGTCTAGAAATTATAAAAAATTAAATGGAAATCCAAAATTGAAAAAATAAAATCTCATGAATCCTGAAATTAATTACTCATTGGATGGATTTTAAATTAGCAAGAGAGTGGAAGATGTACACTACATTTCACATCACAGAAAATGCAGCTCTCAAAAAAAAGGGGGCTGGGGGGAGACTCTCCAGTGTGTTTGAAATGCTGTAAATTGCACAGAAGAGATTACCTATTTTTCTACCACAGGACAGCTGGTGGATTTGAAACACCTGCCTTTTGGTAAGCAGTGCAACTCCTTACCCACAAGACCACCTGAGTAGAAGTATACTATTGTTAAGACTTGAAGCACCTACTACAGAAGATCAGAGACTGCATACAGCCTTTAATATTGGTTATATCTCAACCTCAAGAAAAATGAAAGTCCTTGAAAAAGAAAAAGATCATGGACCAATAGTCAATATCATGATAGGTAGAGAAAAGGCTGAAGTTGTCAATGATTTAATTATGCTTGGATCCACAATCAACACCCATGGTAACAGCAATCAGAAAATCAAAAGAGAGGGGAAAAATCCAATTATACAGCTAATACATTTTTATCACTTCTATAAAGGTCACTGAGTTTTATATTTTTAAAGTAGAAGAGCCTTCTCTTTAGTGAACTGCTACTTGATTAAAAAACTAACAGTAGTTCTATAGTTATTGCAGTAAAGGAATTTCACCCTCCCATCTTTCTGTATGGTACCTTACTTGTGGGATCTTGGAAAATTTGGTTGATAGTCTCTGATACAGATGATAATTAGTGCACTTTGATGTAGTTTTTGTTTCAGAGTTTTCAAAATTATATGCTCTCTCAGAGAGTGGTTCTGTATTACTAATAAAGTCTTCAATGTATTCTTTTTATAAAAAAAAAAGAAATCAGAAGAAATGCTACATTTGGAAAATCTGCTGTCATGGACCTCTCCAGAATTCTGAAGAATGTCAGTTTAAAGATTAGAGTGTGCCACATTCCAGACCATGGTATTTTCAATTGCTTCCTGTGTGTCTGAATGTTGGACAGTGAATAAGGATGACAGAATAAGAATCAATGCTTTGAATTTTGGTGTTGCAGAGTATTGAATATCCTATGGACTGCCAAAAGAAGAAACACATCTGTCTTAAAGTATAACCAGAATGCTCCTTAGAGGCAAGGATGGTAAAACTTCACCTCACTTTGGGCATATTTTCAGCAGGAAACAGTCCTTGGAAAGAGTCATCATTCTGGGAAAGGGAAAGGGCCAGTGAAGGAGAAGAAGACCCTTAATTAGATGGGTTAACACCGTAACTACCACAGCGGGCTTGAGCAGGACAGAGATCAGGAGGGCAGGGCAAGGTTCGGATCTGTTGTTCATAGAGTTGTGATTTGTGGTTTACTTGATGACACCTTACAACAATGGCACTATTGTTATACTCATTATACTATACTATGTAGAACAACATAAAATAGAATATGTATTTTAATATTATAGTATATTATGTAGGGAGCTCTGATAGCCTAGTGGCAAGATTGCAATCCTGAAGGCATGGAGTTCAAATCTACCAGCTGCTCCGTGGAAGAAGGATGGACAGTCTCCTCCAATGCAATTAACTGCCTCTAAAAACCCACCAGAGGGTCAGCTTTGGGTTAGCTCTGACTCGACGGTACATAACAACAACAACGACAGTATATTACATATATTATAAAATATACACCAAATATGTAGTATATGATATACTATTGGTATACTATACTACCATTATGCTCTTGGTGAAACAGTGTACTAAAATTGAATGACAAGGTTAATGAAGATATCTACAGGTTAAAGTATGATGATTAAGATGGACAGCTATAGAAGTAACACATTTGATTTTTAGACTATACATTATATAGGCCTTTGCACCACTAACCCAAAGGTGGTGCCTCTTGCGATTTGAATCTACTAGTTGCTCTGGAGTTGGAAAGCGGACAGTTTTCTCCTCTGTGACTTACAGCCTCTGAAAACCCACTGGATGGTCAGCCTTAAGGGTTTCAACTCAATGACAGTGGTGATATTATACTTGAAGTTAGTCAAAAGTTCAATTCTGTGTCTGTAAACACAGTATTATTAAAATGGGAGTTAGTTATTTCCTTATGATTATTCAGTGTAGTGGGTATTGTTTTGCTTTTTATTATAAAAATTTTAGAAAGAGCATGGTAATAGTAATCTTGGAATAAAAAAAGGAGCCTCTACTGTTGGCAGGGATGCTGTGGAAGATGTTTTGTTGAGCTTGTACTGAATATGATGTTACTGCATTCAATACAGACAGACTTCTGACTCCTTTTTTTCACCCTTCACAGGCCACCACCACCACAACCGAAAGTATCATCTCAGGGAAATTTAATTCCTGCTCGCCGTGCTCCTGCACCTCCTTTATATAGTTCTCTCACGTGAATCCTCTCTCCCCTTCCTCTTGCTGATATCTTCAGGGAACTGAGCTAATACGAAATTTTTTTTCCTGATATTTCCTTGATAAGCCTTTCTTCCTGCTGCAACTATGAATGAAAATAAAATACTATGAAACATACTTTACTAACACAGGAAAAAACAGGAACTAAGTAGTGGGAACTGGGAAATGTAAGGAAATGCAGTAAAGCCAGGGAATTTGGAATAAGGTTTCCATTTCCATCACTGAATAGTCTTTATTAGGTCATCTATGAGGCTAATACTCTTAACAAGAATTATATTATTTTGAGTATGTGATTGTAATGACTCTCAAATTAACTGTATTAGCTTAGATTTTGTCATTATGTGCTTAAATGTTATTCTGATTTTTTTTTTTTTACTTCAGTTATTGTAGATTCTGGTCGAACAGGTGATAATCTAATACCTGTGAAAACTAACTGTTTAGCTGCCAATAATTATTTTTCATCTTGCACGGACTAACAATCATCATTGTTGTCTTCAGGAGATTGCACAAGAACCACAATTATGGTGTCTTAATATTATTTTAAAAGAATAAAATACTCTAAAAGCATGTGTGTGTGCATTTGTACACACTTACTGCTCCCTTTTGATGATTTTCAGCTATAGACAAAGATTATTAGAAAAGTTAATTTAATATTAGAATTTCTATTATGAATCATGTTAAATTAAAGCATGGTGTCCTTTTGAAATAGCAATTATTTTAAATAAATTATGAGATTTAAGGTACGAGGTATTTAATAGATCTAATCTGATACTTTGTTGATTCATGGCTATAATGAAGCAGGCAAAATGATAATATTATAATCAGTTGATCTATTGTTATAAAAACCACTGAAGAATTTCATGAGCACTTTAAAATTAAAAAATCTGAAATTTCTGAGTTTGCTATATCATATAGAATGTTTACATTTACTAAGGTGTGCTGAATTTTGTCTTCGTTGTTACTAATGATTTCAAAGGATCTAGGCTGGAGATAGGAAAGAAGAAAATATTTTCTGAAATAAATACAAAAAAGTCAGTGTGGTATCTGTGAATAATCTTCCCAGTTGTATTAAAAAAGAACTGTTACTATGGAAGAAATGATGTGGACAGTACAATTTTAAACACAAAACTTTTTCATAACCTTTCATAATAAAGTTTATTAATAGGTTTATTAATGGAATTTCATTAGTTTTTTTAAAAAATTGGTTTGTGTATATATGCATATGCAAATAGAACATTTACAAGGAATAAAATACTTGAAATTCTGTTTTGTGTCTCAATGACTTATTAGATTCAAGAATTTGTTAATGAAAAAGGGAAGGCTTCGTGTTCCCTTCAGCAGCACATATACTAAAACTGGAATGATACAGAGAAGATTAGCATGGCCCCTGCACAAGGATGACACGCAAATTCGTGAAGCATTCCATATTTTTTTAAATTAATAATAATAATAATAATAAAAAGAGGGACGTTTTCTCTACAGATAGAAACAATTGCAGAAGTCTTACAGGAAGGGATAGAATGGTTGACAGGCATGGATGGGCCAGATAGGAGATAGAGTTGTTGTTGTTGTTGTTATGTGCTATCGAGTGGCCTGTGGCTCATAGCGACCCTATGTACCATCAGCCCTAAACCCTGATCTATCCTGTGCCAGTATTACTGTCTCTGACACATCTACCCCTATTGCCCCAGTTACTGAGTCAATCCATCTCATCAGAGGTCTTCCTCTCTTGTGCTGCCCCTCCAACCTCCCTAGCATGACATCCCTCTCCAAGGACTGATCCTGTCTTGTTTGGACTTTGGGAGAAAGAGTAGAGATTAGCAAATAGATGGGTAGAGAGAGGGGTAGGAGAGAGTACAGTAAATTTTCTTATAGGCGATTGCAAATAATGACATTATACAGTTATAAAATGAAATGTATATGAGTGACTGAACAAAAACCAATTCAAACAAACAAAAACCCCAAACCCACTAGAGAGGTTGTGAGGAGTGTCTGATAAATGCCATTCTAACTTTATGAGGAGGAATGTAGCATCAGGATTGGAGGAAGATTCATCAACAACCTATGCTATTCAGATGACATGATCTTATGCACTGAAACTGAGGAGGTCCTGAAGTGTTTGTTGCCCAAGATCAAGGACTGCAGTCTTCAATATGGATTGAAGCTCAATATCAAGAAAACAAAGATTCTCACCACTGGGCCAAAAGGCAGCACCATGATAAGTGGAGAAGAGATTGAGGTGAGATTTCAGCTTGCTTTGCTTGGCTCCACAATCAGCACTCTTGGCACCAGCAGTCAGGAAATCAAAGGACTAAGTGCTCTGAACCCTGCTGTCAGTGACCTCTCAAAAGTGCTGAAGAGCAAAAATGCCATTCTGGAGACTAAGGCATGACTTATTGAGGCCATGGTCTTTGCAATTCCATGCTATGCGTCAGAGAGCTGGACATTGACCAAAACTGAAAAAGAATTAATGCTTTGAGTTGTGCTGGAGAAGAATATTGAACATATACTAGGGACTGCCAAGAGAACAAACAGGTCTGTATTGGAGAGGATGAAACCAAGTTTCTCCTTGGAGGCAAGGATTTTGAAGCAGTTTCACCTATTCTGGGAATGTGGCCAGGAGGGACCATTCCCTGGAAAAGGATGTTGTGTGTGAAAGGATGGAGGGACAGCACAGTAGAGGAAGACCCTGGATGAGATGGATTGACAGAATAACTGAAGTAATGGAGGTAAGTGTGTTGGAGACAGTGAGACTAGCCCAGGATAGAGCAGAGTTCAGAGCTATTGTACATAGGCTCGCTATGAGTTGGCAGGTGACTCGATGGCACATAACAACAACAGCAACGATATAACACATTTGGAAGTAAGATATTTTAAAAGTATATTTTTATTGTGTCTATGCAGTTTATAATTCAGAGAGTAGTATGCATTTTCCTTCTAAAATACTCTGGAAGTGTCAGAAGCTCCCTGGATGGAGCAAATTATTTTCTCTGTTTCTTGTTTACTATCTTGTCAAGATGACTCACAGATGACCTTCCAGCAGGTTTTCAGAAGCTATATATAGCAAGGGAGTTGATTGCTCAGCTTTCTCTCTTGGAGAACCTAATGAGATTCCTTACCACTTGGCCATAGCTGGTAAAAAAAAAAAAAAAAGTTCTTTCAATCTTCTAAGAAAAGCCATTAAGTCTGCTTTCACAGCCAAGAAAACCTCACACAGTTCTATTTTCACACATAGGGTGAAATGGATCTGAATCCCTTTTATTTTTTCAAGATAATATCAGGAAATATTCCATACGAAACCTAGCATAAGAGGTGTGTTGTTACATGGCATGGAGTCGTGTGCCTTAGTCACTTGTGACTCATAGGAACCCTAACTGTACAGTAGTGCTGTAAGCTATCTTTTCCCAATCTCATCATCTCCTATAGAGCTAATCCTATTTTTTCAGTCACTGAATCAATCCATCTCATCTTGGGTCTTTCTCTCCTGCACCCTTCAAGCATGATGTTGTTCTCCAAGTACTTCAAAATCCTTACATCCAGGAAGCAGCCTGGTTTCACCCTCTGCAATACAGCCCTGTTTGTTCTCTTGGAAGTCCATATTCAACATTCTTCTCCAGCACCACAACTCAAAGGCATGGATCTTCTAATGTTCTTAGTTACTGTACTGCTCTCACATGCATAGCAGGTAATTGCGAAGACCACGGCCTGGATCTGGAACACCTTAGTCTCCAGACTGACATCGTTGCTCTTCAGTACTCTAGGGAGTCCGAGACCTAATTTTCTCAATGCAATTCATCTTTTGATTTCCTGATTGCTGGTGCCAAGAGTGGAACCAAGCAAGCTGAAGCAGTGGGCCTTTAAATCCACCAAGAGAGAACCAAAAGTTTGTGGGAAACAATCGGGACAGAAGGAACTAGAGTGGATGGAGAGTTTTTGAAGAGCAGGAATGCTCTTCGGTAAGGCTCTCTCGCGCGGAGGGAGCTGTGTTTTTAAGGCCGCGGGGTGCGGAGACTACAGTATGCCAAGTCCCAGCTGGGCGCAGAGCCTGAATGCACGCCAGGAGCCCGCAGGGCAGGGAGCCGGCTTGCACGCCGGGAACTCGCGAGGCCGCGGCGGCAGCTGCGCGTCTTCCGGCTGACGGGCGGCGGCGCCCCACCCGGGCCTCCAACGGCCACCCGCTCAGTCTGCACTCAGAGCCGAGAAGCCACGCCATGTTCTGCTTAATGATTCTGCTTGCCGGGCCTGGTGGCTTACTTGCGGCAACACCCGGTAAACCTTTAAAACCCACCCATTCATTCCCGTGGAGTCGAAAGTGACCCCCTTTCCTAGCTGACCCTCTTTCTCCTCCAAGAACTGCTGCTGGATTCAAACTGCATGTCTTTTGGATGGCTGCGGAACTACCCACATACTATGCTAATCCCTGCTATTCTGGTGATGCTGCAAAAATGTTCTATTTTCCTTCCTTCAGCTGGTTCTGATTTTCAGTATGACTTTCTCTACCCAGACCCCAGTGTTGAGGCCTACTTTGACCTATGCTTGTCCTGTCACCTTGGAAGTGGGTCTTATATGAATGCTCTCTTGAGGTTGAAGCTTCGTTTGACATACTTTGGGCAGGTTGCAAGGAGGAACTGGTCTTTGGAGAGGGACATCATGTTTGGCAGAGTAGAGGGGCGGCGCAAGAGAGGAAGACCCTCGATGAGATGGATCGATTCTGTGACTGGAGTGGTGGGAGTAAGTGCTTTTGAGACAGCGAGGTTGGCACAGGATAGAACGGCGTTTAGAGCTCTGTACATAGGGTCGCTATGAGTCGCAAGCGACTCGATGGCACATAACAACACCGCCACAACTGAGGTTGAGAAGAGATAGTATTAATAATAACACTTATGATTATTTTAATAAAGCACAGGACACATTTCTTATCATCTGAATCCGGAGCACATTCATTATATGGTAGACCTGTTACCGACCTCTCAAAACTTTCTTTACAAAAAACCCCAACAACAAAAACCAAAAAACTTGGACTCAAATTCTTAGCAGAAACATCTTAAACGCTGATTACAGTTCTTGTTTGTTATAAATTGACCTATAATACAAAAAAAAGAAAGGAAAAAATCTGCCTTTAGTCTGCAAAAGAACATAGGAAGAACAATAGTAGAACTGTGAGTTGAGTCATTTTTTTTAATACAGAAGAAGCGATTTAGATAAAAGTGAAAATTTTCATTTATCTTTATTTCCCTCCCTTTTGATCCGCGTTGAACTCCGTATAGAATTGCATTGCTAAAGCCTGAAAGTTGCTAGTGATTGGAATTAAAAAATAGCTCCCTGGGATAAAGTTGGCAATCTCTCCCCCATGTCTCTTGAGACTCATAGCGACCATGTCCTTGCCTACTCGTGCTATCCTCGTGTTTGTGCCTATTGTTAAAGTCTGTCAGTCCATCTTGTTGAGGATCTTCCTGTCCTTCAGTGATCCTGTATTATTCCCAGCATCATGTCTTTTTCCAAGGACTGGCCCCTTCTGACACCATGCTTAAAGTATGTGAGATGAAATTTCACCAGCTTTGCCTCCAGGCAGTACCCTGCTTGAGCTTCTTCCAAGGCACATTTGTTTATTTTTTAAAGCAGTTCTTGGGATATTCAGTACTCTTCTCCAGCACCACAATTCAAAAGCATTGATTCTTCATCTGTCATCCTTATTCATTGTCCAATTTGCAGAATCATAAAAGACCATGGCTGGAATTAGGCACACTTTACTTTAAACTGACATTATAGCTCTTGCGTGCTTTCTTTTGATTTTTTTACTTGTTACCATGGGTGTTCTTTGTGGATCCCAGTAAAAAGAAATCATTGCCAACTTCAGTCTTCATCTATCATGATGTTGGTCCAAAACTGAGTAGTTTTATTTTCTTGATGTTGAGATGTAAACCTTATTGAACATTGTAGTTTTTTATTTTGTACTCCAACTCCTAGCCGTCTACACTCTCTGATGCTGGGCCATCATTCCATTTGCTGTTATAATATTTGAATCCATCAGTATAGTCATGGTTTCAGTTCATCTTGTTGAGAATATTCCTCTTTTTCATTCATCTTATACTTTTCCAAGCATGTTAACCTTCTACAGAGTCATCTCTCTTAACATGTCCCAAGAATGTGAGGCAAAGTCTTGCCATCTTCGTTTCCAAAAAACCTGCTGGATATTATTATGGATAACATTATTATTATATTATTATTATTATGGATGACTTTATGAAGGAAAATTTGACAATTGTTGTTGTTGTTAAGTGCCATGGAGTCGTTTGCGACTCATAGCGACCTTATGTACAAGAGCCCTAAATGCCGTTCTATCCTGTGCCAACCTCACTGTCTCAAACACATTCATTCCCACCACTCCACTCAGAGAATCGATCCATCTCATCGAGGGTCTTCCTCTCCTGCGCCGTCCCTCCACTCTCCCAAACATGATGTCCCTCTCCAAAGACCAGTCCCTCCTTGCAAAATGCCAAAAGTATGTCAGACGTAGCTTCAGAATCCTTGACTCCAGGGAACATTCTGGCTTCACCCTCTCTAGGACAAACCTGTTTGTTCTCCTAGCAGTCCATGTTATATTCATCACTCTTCTCCAGCACCACAACTCAAAGGCATCAATTCCTTTTCTATCACTGTCCAACTCTCTGATGCATACCGTGTAATTGCAAAGACTATAGCCTGGATCAGATGCACCTTAGTCTCCAGCCTGACGTCGTTGCTCTTTAGTACTCTTGAGAGGTCCCTCACAGCTGACTTTCCCAATGTAATTCATCTTCTGATTTCCTGACTGCTGTTACCAAGAGTGCTGACAGTGGAGCCAAGCAAATAAAAACTGTTAACTATCTCAGACTCTTCACATCCATACTGATGCTGCCAATTGGCTGCCAATCTTTTTTTTCTTGATATTGAGCTTCAATCCATATTGAAGACTGCAGTCCTTGATCTTCTGCAGCAAGCGCTTCAGGTCCTCCTCAGTTTCAGTGAGCAAGATTGTGTCATCTGCATAACGCAGGTTGTTGACGATTCTTCCACCAATCCTGATGCCACTTTCCTCCTCATACATCCCAGCGTCTCAGATGATCTGTTCTGCATACAGATTGAAAAGGTATGGAGACAAAATATATCCTTAATGGACCCTTTTCTTGATTTTGAGCCATCCAGTGTCTCCCTGCTCTGTTCTGATGACTGCCTCTTGGTCCAACTATTGGTTTCGCATTAGCACTATCAAATGATCTGGGATTCCCATTCTTCTCAGAGTCAGCCACAGCTTGTTGTAATCCACACAGTCAAAGCCTTTGCATAGTCAGCAATTAATTATCCTCAATTGTGACAATGGTACAGGATCCAGCAAGGTTTTGATATGTTGTACACCAAGGTCACTATGAGTTAGCATTTAGACTCATGTGAAATATGTGCATAGACCAAAAGACAATTTGAAAAAAAACCCAAACCAAGTGGTATACTGCATGGTTTAAAATCAGGGAAGGTATGTGCTAAGGTTGCATCCTTATAGCTATTAAATCTTGTATATTGAACAAACAATCTGGGAATCTGGACCAGAAGAGGAATGTGGTATCAGAATTGGGAGAAGATTCATGAACAGCCTTAGATTTATAGATGACTTAATCATGTTTGCTGAAAAAGAAGAGTACTTGAAGTATTTACTGACAGTTAAAAACCAAAGCTTTCAGCTGGATTGTATCTGTCAACATAAGAAAAAAAAATCATATAACAATGTCAATAAATAACTTCCTGATAAATGGGAAAGATGCAATATGCCAAATATTCCCTTTTGCTTGTATCAACGATCACTGTTAGGAGTACCTTTGTCCTAGAAGTGACATTTTGCTTAACAAAGCACTTTGTTTAACATCGAATTAACTCTTTTGCAGATTTTCCCAATGCAGTTCAGCATTTCATTTCTTGATTGCTTCTTTTTTTTTCTTTTCTTTTTTTTTGTTGCAGCTTGATACTTCTTTATTATGGTAATGGTGCTTTTTCGATTGCTTCTTTTTACAGTGACCATTGATCCAAGTTATAGGAAATCTTTGGCATTATACATCTTTCTTATTTATCAGGATAATTTAGTACTCTTCTCCAACATTGCAGTTCAAAGACATCTGTCATTCTAAATCATTGTCCAGCTCTGAGATGCATAGCAGTTATTGAAAAGACCATGGCCTGAATCAGATGCATCTTATTCCTCAAACTGACATCATTGCTTCTTAATAATTTGAAGAAGTTTCTGACTACAGAATTTCCCTATTTTTACTGATCTCCTGATTCCTGACACCAAGAGTGTTGATTGTGGATGTAAAATGAAGATGCGAACAGTTTCAATCTTTTCTCCAACTGTTATGATGTTGTGTATTGGTCCGGTGTTGGGAATATTTATTTCCTTGATGTTGAGATACAATCCATATTGACATTGTAATTCTTTTCTATCTTCTACGACAAGTGCTTCAAGTCCTCACTTTCAGCAAATACGGTTGTGTCATCTAAATAACGTAGATTATTGATGAGTTTTCTTTGATCCTGATCCCACATTCTTCTTCATGGAATCCAGTTTCTCTAATAATTTGCTCAGCATACAGCTTGAGAGAGGATAAAATCACATGGTATATTAAGCTGGGAATGAAAAACAAGAAAAATGGTGTTGATGCAATGGAAAAGACAATTTCAAGTTCTCTCCTGAAGTACAATGTTGTGAGTGACATATTATTCTTGTGCAAACAAGGAAGACCTATTGACTATTCAAATATACACATCAACAGCTAAAGACAAAGGGAAAGAAATTGAAGATTTTTACCAAATTTTGCAGTCCAAATTTGATCAAATGAGAAATCAAGATGTGTTAATGATGCTTTCTGACTGGAATGCAAAAGTTGGAAACAAGGAAGGAAGGAATAGTAGTTAGAAAATAATGGACTTGTAAACAGAAATGACGTCAGAAATAGAATGATCAAATTTTGAATGTTCAGTGATTTATTCTTCACAAATACATATTTACAAAAACACAAATGGTGACTTTACACATGGACCTCACCTGATGAACTCCATAGGTATCAGATTGATTGCATCTGTGGAAGGAATCTTTGGAGAAGTTCAATATCAGCAATCAAAACCTTGCCAGTTACTGACTGAGGAATAGACCATTAATTATTCATGTGTAAGTACAAATCGAGTCTGAGGAAAATTAAAACAAGTCCACAAAACCCAAAATATGATCTTGAGTCTATACTACC